TCTTTTTTTTTTTTTTTTTTTTTTTTGGCTCTTCTCAACCAAATCTGGTGATGAACCTAAGAGAAATTCCTTAGAACTTAGTGTGAGTGAAATGACATACTGCTTGTAGGTCCGAAAATAAATTTTTGGCAGGGATCTTAGTTGTCATAGTGGCGCTGTCATTTGCAGAAGCCCCCAGTGGCTGACCTCCTCTTCTGTGGGCATAGGACTGAGCTATAGTCACAAGGTGCAGTTCCAGACGGTGCCTGCAGGCCTAGGAAATAGATATTAGTTCTTTTGTTACTGTGTGACTCATTGAAGGAGAATTTTAGAGCCAGAAGGGATTTGAGAAGTTTTACAGAGGGGTATGTTAAATGCCCCCCCACACACACATACACACACAGGTGGTTTACCCAAAATCACAGTGCCAATTATTAAACAAATGAAAAAAAACTGGTGGAGGAATCACCTGTTTGTTAACTCATACCCTCATTTATTCATAGGCAGAAGAGGAGAAACAGGGCCAAAGGGAGACCCAGGAATTCCAGGTTTGGATAGGTCAGGATTCCCTGGAGAACCTGGACCACCAGGAAGGCCGGGTCAGCGAGGTGAGATGGGGCCACCTGGCCCAAAGGGATTTCCAGGAGCTCCAGGATTTTTAGGGCCACCAGGTATCTTTTTTTGTGCTTTTATTTTGCCTCTTATACTTTCCTCCACCTTTTTTCCTTTAAGATGGTTCTGTAAACTATACATAGGCATAGGCTTGTGACTCCATGCTTTTGGTTCAGTTAGTGTTAAGATTTTCCTCCGGAATCATTCATAAAAGATCAGGGCCAAGCCAAGGATGCAGGGAAATACTGATGGAAAAATAGTCGTTATTTTGGGCCAGGAATGTAGCTCAGTGCACTGTGCCTTGCCTACCTGGCAAGTTCAAGGTCTTGAGTTCAATTCCTGGTGTGACCAAAAAAAAAAAAAGTCAGTATTTCATAATTACCCATGGTATGTCTATTTTTGCTATCTAATCCTTTTATATCCTACTATAGTATACTTGCCACTATTTTGTTGAGAGGTTTGCATTTATATTCTCAAGGGACGTTAGTCTGTAGCTTCCTTATGATGTCACTGACTAGTTCTAGTATCAATGCTGGCCTTCCACAACCTGCCTTGGTATTTTCTGAAAGAGTTTGTGAACAGTTGCTATTCCTTAAATATGGAGTAGGTTTCAATAGTGAATTTTTCTAGGTCTGGCCTTGTCTTTGTGGGAAGTCTTTAAAATTACTAATTCAATCTTCACTTATTACAGTTCTGTTCAGATTTTCTCTTTCTTGTTGAGTCAGATTTGATAATCTGCTTCTCCAGAAATTTGTTCAGTTTGTCTAACTGAATTAGATAACTTGTCTAAGTTATCTAATTTGTTGTCATGAAGTTGTCTGTACTATTTATAATCCTCTTTATTTCATGGCTGTTTTATGGTTCATATCTTAGGGGAGAGTATTCTAACCACTTCCTGATGGCATAAGACCATCAACTGATCTCCTGTACAGAGAGGAACCTAGGATAACAGCTTAATTAATAAATTATCCTTTCATTCATATTATTGGGCTACTCTTGTGTGCCAGCAATATGCCAAGCACTAAAGATAGATCAATAGAGATGAAAGTCCACATCTCACAGTAGAAGAGCAATATTCAGTGTATTTAAAAACTAAGTGCTATGGGAAAAAAAGGATTATTAGAAAGCAATTGGTAAGAAGATGATAGGATGGAATGCTCACACACTTCAGTGTATTACATTATCAATCATAAATATGATTTGCTATCAATGACTGTCAAACAGAAAAATTTGAAAAGACCATTCTTCTAAATAAGTATAGTTATTTTCTTATTTACAGAAACCATTTCTTCGGCTCCCAACTTCTAAGTACAGTTTATTTTCTATTATGGAATATTTCATTTTTCTCAACGGATATAGTGTGGGCTTTGTGTTTCTTTGTTTCCACAGGTGAAAGAGGAATGGTTGGGATGATGGGCTATCCTGGAACCCTGGGCTTTCCTGGGCCTCCAGGGAACCCAGGCACACAAGGCCCGAGGGGTAAGTGATAAGAGTCCAGACCTCAGGAGGCACAGACAGCATTCACTTATTTAGCAGCAAGATAAATTACGCCTTCATTCTTTGAGGGGGAATTGTTCTAGGAGAACCACATATTTGATCTTGCTGTTTTCTGCAGTAATTTTTGCCATTTCAGTATAGTCCTAGTGTCTCCCTGTCAGCTGCTTGTATGTGGCTTGCTGTTTGGGGAAAACTTCCAAGTCCTTGGGTCTGATAACCTTTGTTGTTGTTGTTCTGTTTTATTGTACACCCTGTTAATTTGTGAATCCCTATGAACTATGTTGAGAATTAAGAACCTGATGTTGTTACAGGTGGGCTTGGGATTCCAGGAATAAAAGGTGACAGAGGGCCCCCAGGAGCCAAAGGGGAACAAGGAGATAAAGGAAACCCAGGGCCTTCTCAAACAGCCCACTTAAAGGGGGACAGAGGAGAACCGGGCCTCAAAGGTAAAACTCTCTTACATTTAGAATCGGAACATTGGAGCTGATTCAAGGGCTAAGAAATTACCGGGCAAATTTCTTTAGTCAACAAGAGGACAGTGAAGGCCTGATTTAGTTACCTGCCCTAGTCACAGCCAGGTGTGGCTGAGTGTGATCCAGGCCCGAGCATTGTGTGCCTTCTCAGCAATGTGTCATCTCTTCAATGTGGAACTTTTTTTTTTTTTTTTTTTTTTTTTTGGTATAGGGATTGAACTCAAGACCTTGTGCTTGTGAGGCAGGTGGCAGAACCACTGAGCTAAATCTCCAACCCAGTGCAGAACTTTTTATTTCTGTGCTAATTCTGTATTTTGATCTGCTACACTTAAACTGTCACTAGTAAATTGCTGAATTATAACCCTCAAACTCTCCTCTCTCTTTTCCAAGGGGTAAAATGAAACCCTTAGAAAGTCCCACATAAAAAACTTCTTTGGTAGAAATGGGACCCCCCTCCAAATTCTCTTGTATTCTGTCAACTACCAGAATTGATTTTTCTGATTACATCTACAAACTTTGGAGGATAATAATACGAAGAAAATACATTTTAATGAAACTTCAACCCTTTAGGAATACTGCTAATTGTCAGCTGTGGCTATTATGTTAAAGTTCCAGTTCATTCAAATTATTTCAAGTTATTTGAATGCTTTTTGCAGGAGTTCCTGTTATATGCTTAATACAACCAATATGAAACCAAATTTTAAGCAGGCCTGTCTTTCAGTCCCCTGGAACAAGGTTAATCCCAAGTAAGAAAAATAATTGTCGAGTAAATGATTACCTTTGCCAAGCGAACTTTTATCATAGGAAAGGAATAAAAGAAAAATATGTTGTAGTTGCAAACACAGAAATCTGCAATGAATTTTGAGAAAGGGGGTTGGATTCAACAAATATGTGTATGCTTGGCACATAGAGCTATGGTTCTAGAGAAGATCTGCTTTAAATATTCTTCATAGAGTACTGTAGATTGTGCTAGAAAGACTGAATAATAACTATCTGCAGGAGTTAGGAACGATTTTTCAGAAGTGAGCAGTTCTGAAAAGGAACCAAATGCAATGATGCTAACTGATAAAATGGGTAATCATTGGAAAAAACTCAATTTATAGGCAGGGGTGTTTTTTTTGCATAAAGTGAATTTATAAAGTAAAAATCTTTTGAGCATCTCCATTTAACTTCCTGCAAAATCGTTGAGTTCTGGTACAAAAAGAAAGTCTCTCCCATTTTTAGCAATGAAATGGAAAGTAAATTTCATTGGACTCTGTTAGAACCTAAGTCAAGATACGAAGAAAACAATCCTGGCACAAATACTGGCATACTTTTCCAGTCTGCACAAACTTCCAGCGTAGATAGCCCTTCACTAGAGTGCTCTTTGTTATTTCAGGGGTGTTGGAAACAGTTTGAGAATAATATGAATAGCGTATCTGTGTCTACATAAGCCTACATGTGGCTCTCACAGCCTAAAGGCACAATGAATCCTGATTTACAATTAACAAATTCATTTTGTGAAGTTGAGAGGCACACATGCTATTTCTATGCTCCTAAAAAAATTCTACCATTTACTGACCCAAGGTGCTGTTGGAGTCTAAGTGTGTTTTTTTTTTGTTTTTTTTTTTTTTTTTTTTTTTTTTTTTTTTTTTTTTGGTTTTTTTGAGACAGGGTCTCACTATGTAGTTCAGACTGCTCTGGAACTCAATGTGTAGCCCACGCTGGTCTCAAACTCGCAGCAATCCTCCTGCCTCAGCCTCCCGAGTGCTGCGATTACAGGCGTGTGCCACCATGCCCAGCACTCTCTGAGCTTTCTAAATGCATAACTGAGGAGTACAAATTAAACAAACCAAAAAAGAAGGTGAGGGATATGCTATTTGAACTAATTTCAGTATGACTTTTTTTTTTTTTTTTTTTTTTGGTACCAGGGATCGAACTTAGCACCTTGCGCTTGTGAGGCAGAACCACTGAGCTAAATCCTTGGCTCCTATGACCTATTTTTTAAAATTTGAATTTCTACCATGTATATTGAAGGTGCTAATTATTGTCTTTTCCTGGAGGTGTCCGCATGGGAGACTTAGGCATAAGAATGGAAAGATGATATGTAATAGAAGGTGCAAATGAGTAGTATTGGGTTATAGACTTCAGTAGCATTTCACTGTGCAGGAATTGTTCTAAATTTTACAAATATTAACTCCTTTAAACTCACAATATGTCAATATTAAGATTGCAGCATTGTATTTATGTGATTATGTCCTTAGATTCACCTGGCATTAAGGCATTCCTTCCCTAAAGAGATCTATTGTAATTGTACTCCGCTGTGGCAAGAGGGCCAGCTGGTCTCTGTCAACATCAGCATCGCCAGGAGCTTGGTACAAATGCAAATTCTAGGCCCACTGTAGACTTAAACTCTGTGGGTAGAGGCCACAAATCTGTGCTTTAGCAAAGCTTCTGCCTGATTCTGATGCCCTCTGAAGACTGAGAAGAGCCGTGCTAGCCAAGCACCCAAGAAATGGGCCACAGTCACACCATCTTTGCTTCTTTTAAAAAGGCCGAACTCAGACGAGCATCGTGCTAGCTGTTACCCCATTTGTACCAGGGGTGGGCTTCACAGGGATGGGGCTAATTTGAAAGGCCCTGCTGACCTCACACTGTGCTCTGGGGACCCTGACACTGAGCTCTGTGGAGACAAGGGAGGCAAAAAACACAGCAATGAGGAGAGTCAGAGCCACCTCCATGACGGATTTAAATTATGACTGGGGTTCAGATGAGCAAATAAAACTCTTGGCTTAAAATTTTTCTAAGGCTCCCCTTGCTTGAAGAATTCAGACTCCTTAGACTGGCACGGAAGTGTCTGCCCCATGTGCCCTTTATGAGCCTCTCCAGCCACATGATATTTATGTGCTCGACAATTACTTTTTAATGTCTGTGGGTGAAGCATTTTATTATGTGCTAAACACAGAGGAGCAAAGAGGATGTCGTATCCGGATCATGATAAAAACCTACAACTTCGTAGGGAAAAGAAATATTAATGGGTCTGTAATAGATTCCTTATAGGACATATAGTAAATACTTTAGATTGTGCTGACACACAATCATATGGATGATCGCTATTGCATATTCTTTTTGTTTTTGCTTTGTTTTTGTAGCTCTTTAACAATGTAGAAAATGTATATGGGGAGGGAAGGAGGGGGTGAAGGGAGGGCAGGGACAAGGGGAAAAAATGAGAACCAAGACCTGTCATATAAAGGTACAAGATCCCAATAATGAAGGTAACTGTACTGTATACCTAAAATGTACCAATAAACTCAATTAAAAAAAAACAATGTAGAAAATGTCCCTAGCTTTCAAGTCATATGATACTAAGCCAGATTTGATCTGCAAGCTCATAAACATTCTAAGCAATATATGTTCTTAGAGTGGGATAAATGACATAAAAGGAAAAAAATAGAGGTGCAAATTAAAACAGTCTAATCCCCTGCTACTTAGCACTCCTTTGCATATGCTATTTTCTGGCTTAGGAATCCTATTTCATTTCATGTCTTTTCTACCCAATTAGTTCTCATTCAGTCTTCAAGACTCAGAAAAAAAAAAAAAGGAAGAAAAACATCGACCTCTTCCAGAAAGTCTTTCCTGTAGCATACTGTGATCAACTTTATTAGAAAACTGATCTCACTGGGTGGCCATTGCTTGTTTACTTAGCAGTTTCCCCAATCAAACACTGAAAACTTGGGAGTGGGACCAGGATTTGTTTCTATCTCCAGTACTCGATGCAAGACCTGTCTATTAATTAGATACTCAATTCATATGCGAATGAATGAGTAAGTACAAAAGCAAGAAAGGAGCCAAGGGAAGCAAGTCTGCTGGAGAGAAGGCAGAAAGCCAAACCAGAGTCTGTAGAAATGTTCCATGCACTTAAGGAAGTTTGTAATTTCCTGTGTAGGGAAAAGAGACTCAATGAATATTAATAACTAGGAAAATAATATGATCAAAAATGTGTTTTTTAGGGAAAATGGAATGGGAAGTTTATGAGCTTTCTAGCCATTCAGAAGTGGCATGAGATCTCAGTATTGTCACTAATGATATGACTCTAGGTAGGGCTTTGCACTTACCTAATACTTAGTAAATAATAATTCCGACAACTGAGTCGAGAATGAAATTGTTTAGGTGAGAATCATGTAGTAGATTGTATTCTCTCTTTACTGTGAAAACTGAAGAGACATTTAGGTTACTATAGTTGGAAGTGGTGTTTTAACATGTAAATACGATCATTGCTAGCACTCCTTGAAGACTAGTTCATGTCCGCCATGTGCTCATACTTCACACAGATTGTTATTTCATCTACCTTAAAAAAAAAAAAAAGAAAGAAAGAAAGATCAAAGTCCACGTCTGCCCATAGTCTTTTTTTTTTTTTTTTAATTTGGAATTTTTGAGACAGGGTCTCACTACATAATTGAGACTGACCTGAACTCACTATGTAGCCCATGCTGATCTCAAACTCACAGCGATCCTCCTGCCTCAGCCTCCCAAGTGCTGGGATTACAGGCGTGCGTGCCCATAGTCTTAATATTCTTTCAGTTTAATCCAGGATGTGCATGAGTCTGATAAAATTCTAACCTGTATTTTCAATATCTGCTTTTTAACTTTAGGACTTACAGGAAATACAGGGGAGAAAGGAAACAGAGGCGTTCCAGGCTTCCCAGGTTTAAGGGGTCTGGAAGGACCCCCTGGACCACCAGGAGTACCAGGTATTGGGGATCCCCTCATAGAAATATAGTGTTTCAGGTTTTCCTAGCTCTAAATATAGTAAAACTTATTTGTAGATTTCTTGAGTTGCATATGAATCCTGCTCCAATCTTTCTAGCAGAAATTTGTTTCAAAATTAAACCAAAAGGAAAGTGTTTTATTTTTGGCATTTCCAAATATTAATTTGTGCATAGTTTCATTTATCCACTCAAAATTTTATTTTGAAATGGCCGATATGTATTACAAGTGGTATTTTATAACAGTAGCACATATCCAAGATGAAATTAATGCTTTAGGAATGTTCAGATTTACCCTTTCCTTTTTAAACAAAGTATTGGGTTTGCAAAGTAATTTTTTTAAACTATTGAAGGAGTCCTTCATCCCCCAACCACCTCAATAATCATACTGCATGAAAATAAAACTTCATTATGCTGCTGAAAATACATTATTGTGCAGTCACAGAAGCCCATCTCTTCGTGTTCCTCTCGGTCCTGGGATGACTTCAATGTTTGAAGAAGTCCGAGCCTACTGATGAGACTCTCCCTGTCTCTTGATTTAGGAGTTCTGAGTCCTCAGTCTTTACCTTATTGGGAGGCAAGGAGATAGCTGAGGACCTATACCAGCCAGTCCAGCTGTTCTGAATTCATTCATTTATTCATGCAAACAGCAGATATTTTTTGAGTATTACTCTGCCCAGGAACTATGACGCTTTTACTCCATTCATTCTCAAGGTCCTAGAGGAGATCCAGGAAGCCCTGGGAACCCTGGAGAACCAGGACCACCTGGCACACCAGGAAGCTTGGGCAACATGGGTATGCCAGGTAATGTCTAAGGTCCTGTTGTGGGCCCGCAAGCTAACAGTGGGCCAAAGTTCTAGATGTTGCCCATTGTTTTGATTTCCCACTTCATAAAACGTTTATGGAAAACAACCAGATTTGCTTTCTTCCTAAATTAATTTTATTGGTACATTTTACTTATACAATATAATGACATTCATCATTGGAAATTTGTACCTTTCCATAAACCATCTTGGCTCTTATTTTTTTCCCCATTCTCCTGCCATGACTTTGTTTCCATTTTTTTCATTTTCTCATATTAATTCCATTCCCTCCTTTGCTTTCCCCAATCCCTCCCACTTCCCCTTCCCCTTTGGACCTTTTCTTCCTGTTTCACAATATCAATCATGCCTTCTGATCCTTATTTACACTTTCAGTTTCTCATACTAGAGAAACTATTCGGTATTTACACCTGTCTGTCCTATTTATTTCACTTAAGCGTAGCGCCTCAATGTGCATCCATAGTATTTTTTTTTTTATAAAATGGAGTATGACTCAGCCATATAGATTTGCTTTTAAATAAAAGTATTTGTGTGTAACTAAAATGCTAGTGAAAAGAAAATATTCACGTTGTATAAAAATCATCCTTTAAAACTTCCTGATGCATTTGAGATTCGAAAACCCAATTTCTTAGGAGAAGGGTTGGTTATGCAAAAGTCAAAAAGAGAACCCTTCAAGATTCCTATGTTTAGGGGCTGGGGATTTAGCTCAGTGGTGCCCCTGCCTACCTCGCAGGCACGAGGTCCTGAGTTCGATTCCTAGTACCAAAAAATAAAAAAATAAAGATTCCTATGTTTACTTGCCTTGCCTGATATTTTTCCTAATTTCAGGTTCTAAAGGAAAAAGGGGAACATTAGGACTCCCTGGTCTACCTGGAAGACCAGGTCTCCCAGGCACCCATGGCCTCCAAGGAGATAAAGGAGAACCTGGTTATTTGGAAGACGCAAGGCCAGGACCTCCAGGACCAAAGGTACATAGGCCACTAAAAAATTTATGCTTTGGCAGTGGACGGTGTCCCTTAAAATATTAGTAAGGGTCCAGATTAAGCATGTGCAAAAAAAATATAAAAGTATTTTCAGGCAGTCATTTAGATTAAAAAAAATCCTATTTCCACAACTGAGGATGCCTTACTATATCCCTCAGCCATCAACTTTGGAAAGCCTGTTTCTGCCACCAAGGCTTTCTCTGTCCTTGCAATTTAAGTGTGTTCCCAGAAGGGAGCAGTGCTTACAGACCCATGCAACCTGACGGGGTAAGGGTTTTTCCCTTGAGACAAAAAGTACTCAGGCTGGACCACTAGCTCATCTCACACAGATATATTTTATAATCCATACCACTTGTTTTATTAAGATACAGTGCACGTTATAAAATAACTGTAGAGCAACATTAAAAAGTAAACAACATTCTAAGAGATAATTACATTTATCTTTCTTGTTTAGAACTTTAAGCATTTTCAATCCTTACACCTAATATTTTTATCTTGTCTCAGTGTTTTCCGGAGCTTTTGCTCTGTCACGTTGGAGTTGGGTGTCAGAGTCCTCCATAGTGTGCCTTACAAAGCACCAACCAAATGTACCAACTAGGGCTTGGTTGCTCTTTTAAATTTTTTGTTGTTGTTGCTGTTGTTGTTTTGATACCAGGGATTGAACTTGGGCAGAACCACTCAGCCAAATCCCTGATCCTCTTGTAAGTTTCATTTCCTGTCCACAGCAGTTATATTAATAGCCAGAGGCAGACCCAAACGGATTGATTAATAGAAATACCCATAAGCAGGGGTTTTTAATGCAGAATTCCATGGACCCCTCAAAGAGTCTATGTTATCCTGAGAAACCTTCTAACTTCCTGGAAGTGAATGCCAAATTTTTATAGGGGAGAGCCTATATTTTTCATCAGATGTTCAAAAATATATGGCTCTAAAACATAAAAGTTATGACTTAGGGAACTTTCTCCTTTTCATTTGAGCCACTAAAATACTACTTTATCTTAAAATTTCCATATTTTCCAGTAGTAAATGCCACAACTAGAAAGAAGAATTTTAGACACTGCACACACACAAGAAGATACCCTTTATTATGTAAAACACAGACAAGTTTTTGCCTCCCTTTCTATTTAAATTAGGCTCAGGGCTGGGGATGTAGCTCAGTGGTGCTGCACCTGACTGGCAAGTGCAAGGTCCTGAGTTCGATCCCCTGGTACTGAGAAAAAAAATACTGATCTATTTAAATTAGGTTCTCAGAAAACCAGGAAGAGACTCTTCACTGACGTATTTTCTCAGTGATAATTCTATTTGACTTTATGCATGATTAATTACTGGTACTTAATCTTCTTAGATTGAAGATTTGCCTAGGTAACCACCAAAAGTTTTTAGAACTGCATTGAGGTGGCCTGCCTTGCAAGCCCAAGGACCCGAGTTCGATCCCCGGTACCAAAAACAAAACAAAACAAACAAACAAAAAAGAACTGCATTGAGCGCAAATTAAGTTTTATCACGGCAACAAGTCATAGTAACAGAGTAGTGTATCTTATTGGCTACATTGGAAGTTTCTAAGTCACTATTGAAGCCTGAGTATTCTGATTTTTCATAAAACTTAAATACAGATTTAATAGTAAATCACTGAAAAGGTTTGTAGGCGTGATTGACATACATGTATTACATGCATAGTATCTGTAGGACACATATGCATTTGGTTCATCTCTTATCCCCAATCATCACAACTTATAATTTTATATATCTGTGTGGCTATGTAATATCTATCATCCCACTGGTCCCCAAAACTGCAAAAGCAGGAGCTGATGTATCGCATGTTATCATTACACTCAGGAGAGGGTGAGCTTCATAAGTAGTAGCATGTGTTGTTACAAAGGTCCAAAGTAAAGAAGTACCCTGTGCTTGGTTTAATGCTTTGCTGTTGTTGTCTTAAAATCCTTTAAAATTTTTTTTTTTTTTTTTTTTGTACCAGGATCGAGCTTAGGTCCTTGTGAGGCAGGCAGCAGAACCACTGAGCTACATCCCTGGCCTAAAATCCTTTAAATTTTAAAAAGAGAGTTGCATTTTCATTTTGCATCAGGCCCACAAACCATGTAGCCAGCTCATTCCTGGAACCATTCTCAGTACTAACACATAGCAGATACTTATATGATACCTGATGGATGAATGAGTAAAGTTTGTACTTATTTCTAATCGTGTATCCTGCGTATATGAGAATTTTAAAGGTGTTTGACTGAATTTAAGGGGGATCCAGGATTGCCAGGCGAAATGGGAAAGAAAGGAGAGCGAGGCCCGCCTGGTCCACCTGGAGAGCTGGGGCCTGCTGGACCTGAAGGAGTCCCTGGGAGACCCGGGAGTCCTGGCCACCCAGGTGAGATCGGCTTTACAATTCTGCAAGCTGGAAGCGTTATCTGTAGTATGGCCCTCACCTCCTGGAGCCACCTTTATAAACAGAAAGCCAGTTGGTCTTGTACTACAGTTCTTTCTGTACAACTTTGAACTTTTAAGTTCTATTTTTCCCCCCCACTGCTGGGAATCCAACTCAGGACCTTATGTTTGCCAGGCAGGCATGGTACAACTGAGCTAAATCCCCAGCCCTTGAACTTTAAGTCCTAAGACATCAAGAATCAACGAATTAACAGTCAGGCATCTAATTTTTCTGTTTAGAGAATGACATCCAAAAACCTGCCCCTGTAAGAGAAACTTTGAAAATTTTACCCCAACAAAATTCAGCCTAAAGACATGAAATATTACTTCCTGCACAACCTTACGATATCTGTATGGATCTGCTAGGCTTCTGTAACAAATACCATAGACTGAGTAGTTTAGGCAACCAAAATTTGTTTTCTCACAGTCCTAGAGTCTGAGACTAAAGTGCTGGTAGGGTTAGGATCTTCTGATTCTTCTGTTTGACTTTAGATGGTCATCTAATTATCCTCTGTGTTGGGTGTGTGAGACACCACTCAGATCAGATTAGGACCCACTGTTGTGACTTCATTTTTATTTAATTTTTTACAATGTTGTCTCTGAATATAGTGACATTCTTAGGTACTGGGGCTTAGGATTTCAGTGTATGGCCTTGGGGACAACACAGTTCAACTCATAGCATTGTTCTTGATCTTTTTTCCTAACATATTTCTGGGTTGAACATTGGTTTTTCTTTCTCATTAGCTTACACTATGGGTTCAAGTTTTTTGTTTTTTATTAATTAATTATATTGGCATAACTTAAATATATATAATGATCACATTCATCAAACAGAGTTTGTATGTGTAAATGACATAGCTGTTGTACCCAGATCGCAGTTTCCCCAAGGACCACCAGAGAAACGAATCTGCTGCAATTACAAGAGAAGTTTATCGCAGGTTCAAACCTGGACCCTTGTCCACCAGGGAGCAAGAGCCCAGAATTACGATTACAACAAGGTTATATAGGATTAAGGTGGCTTGAAAACTTAACTTTCTTATTGGCTTTTTCTTTACTATTTCTACCGTTCCTATTGGCCTATATCTCTAACATTCTATTGGTGTATATATACAACTATGCTTTAAACTTATTGGTTAGTGAGCGTGCGGATGGGGTCAGTGGAATGGAATTTGCCTTACTCATCTGAACGCTACAGCTTGTTCTTATCTTAGCAGAACATCCTGCTTCTTTGTTTCAATGGACCATGTGGCTTCTGCGGAGGGGAATGGGCCTTACTTACCTATTTCTCATTTATCTAATTGAACAATCTAAACAATGGTCAGGGAGTGGGAGAGTGGTGCAGCTGAAACTTATGCTAGTTTAATTGAAATGGAGGGACTTTGGCCTCAGTAAAAGTGGAGAAACCTTGGTTCCTCAATAGCTTGATTCCTCTTTTTCTCCCGTTCCCCTTCCCTCTTTTCAACCCCCCTCCCCCATTTACGAAGGCTTTGTTTCCATTTTTTTCCCTTCTTTTATCAACTTTTTCCCTTTTCTCCCTTCCCCCTTTCACAGTTTCTTTCCCTTTGAACAGTTTCTTACTATTTCACATTATTTATTATACATTTTGGTCCTTATTTACTCTTTCACTTTCTCAGAGTAGAGAGACAATGTGATATGGGTTCAAGGTTTTATTTTGTTTTGTTACAAACAACTGCCAAAGAATTGGGTTGTAGGTTCATGTCTTAAAAAATGGCATCTAAGTGTCTGAATGTTGAATGGATCTGCAGTTAACTTTCCTTTCAAACGGTAATGGAATATTGAGTAGTTCATTAGTGTACATCCACCACTGAAAATGATTCCATGCATTTCTGCTGTGCTTCCCTGGGGAAACAGCTGTCCAGATAAAAGCCCGAGGTGACTCACCACAGGAGCATTTCCTTAGGATCAGCTTGAACACAGTGTACCTTAGGAACTGAGTCCTTTAGTCATTGTTGGAATCATTCATCTTTTGTTATTCCCTTTTCCTTGCCCTCTCTCTACTTCTAGGAAAGCCAGGTCCTGATGGAGATTTGGGGGTTAAAGGAATGAAAGGCTTTCCAGGCCCTCCAGGAATCAAAGGCCCTCCAGGTTCCATTTTTGTACTTCTCCTAACCCCACTACCTAAGGGAAGCTCATATTCTCCTGAGGTTAAAGTCTCTGTATACTTAACTGCTCTTGTAGAAGGTAGCTCCTGTCACTCTATCCTCAGCAATGCAGGCAAGTGGAGTTGCATATTTCTGTTTAATTCAAATATCTGCCACTCTAAACATGCCAACACGGTAACATGATAATATTAGTCTGTGCATAGTTTTCACTCTGAGTTTAGCTTCATATAACCAAAGTTCTGAATGACTATCACCTCTTATAAAACCCCCACATTTCCCTGATATTCCACATACGGCCACTCGTAGGAAATAAGTCCTCCCCTTAAATACCTCGGCCTTGGTTTTGATTTCTGTTTTGTTCAGCCTTCCCAGGATTCCCAGGGCCTCCAGGGCCAATGGGTGGAAGAGGTAACCAGGGACATGATGGGATTCCTGGCCCTGTTGGAGAAAAGGGAGAAACAGGTACAACTTGCTTGGTATCTTTGATTTACTGACTTCATTTTAGGGAGGATCATGAGGAACAGTTTAAGCCTTCCTTTCTCTAAAGGTTTTTCTCTGATAGAACTGGATGTTTAATATGTTCTTGGTGTGTGCTAGATTTTGTTCATATATATAATTTAATAAAAGTAACCAAATATTAATGTGCCTGTATTATCTCTCTCAGGCTTGCGGGGGGCCCATCCAGGCTCAAGAGGGAATCCCGGTTCTCCAGGTGAGCAGTTTTTTCTCCCTGACCTCAAGATACACATTTCCACAGGCAGGATCCAGTTTGTTGTGTGTTATATAGAAAACAAACTTATCCTAGTGAACGAAAGGCATCCCCATGGTAGTGCAACCTAACAAGAGTCATACTTTGGTACCGAATGCATTTTGACACAAAAATTGTTCCCTGGCACTTGTCCTTTGTTGTGTGTTTGTTGCCCAAGCTAAGGATTCGGTACCCTTTCTAGCCAAAACAACTTGTTTAGCGCTCATCCTTTTTGGTCCTCATCATGGAACTGAAATAACTATGTGTACCAAAGCGCTACTGCATGGTTTTAGTACTCTATTAAAAAATGTTTAATCATTGCCATCACCATAAAAAAAAGAATGAATTGGAAACTATAATCCAATCTTGGATTTTTTTTATAGACATCTTTAAAAATAAAAAGAAGCATTCTGTATTTGTCTTGTGGTTATTGTTAGCGTGGTTTCACGGTATCACCTCCTAAGAGTGTACAGAACTGCTGCCTCCCTGGTTAGCATCTCTTCTTGCTGTGTGGATGGATATGCAAGAGGAACACGGATTACTTTTGTCCTCTTGGATCTGATTGCAACCCCCACACTGAGTTTGTGACTCGTGCCATTGCTTCTTAGCATCTACCCCGCAATCTCTCAACTTCTCCAACATGGCACTTGACAGGTCATAAGTCTGCAATTCTCAAGGCGGTGTTGGACCAGATTAGTAGTTTTGTTTTGTTTTGTTTTGTTGGTGGTGCTAGGGTTTGAAGCCAGGACCTTAGCAATGAGCTACATCTTCAGCCGTTTTTTTCCCTCTTTATCAGAAAAAGGAACTCATTATGGTGCTAATATTCATATAACACTTTACTGTTATATTTTTTTTTCCTATGATATGCTAGAGATTGAACCCAGGGCTTTCACATGCTAGGCGAGTGCACTGACACTTAGCTACATTCCCCAGCAATTTTGATCATTTTTTAAAATCTGAGACAGTGTCTCACTAAATTGCCCCAGCTGGCCAAACTCTAAATCCTCTTGTCTCAGGCTCCTGAGTAGCTGAGATTATATATGTGCCTCCATGCCCTACCCATACCATGCTTTTTGTCCATGTATTATGTCACATGATCTTTAAAGAATAGCGTGACACAGGTATTTCTTTCACTTTTAAAATAAGACAGGGCTGGGGATTTAGCTCATGGTTCTACCACCTGCCTCTCAAGTGCAGGGACCTGAGTTTGATCCCCAGTACCAAAAAATAAAATGAGACAGAAACTTGCAACAGTAAAATGACTGTGCTGGGGTATGGTGGCTCACACCTGTAATCCCAGCACTCTGGAAGGCTGAAGCTGGAAGATCGCAAGTTAGCTGGGCCCAGCCTGGGCAAATGAATAACTTTGTAAGACCCTGTCTCCAAATTAAAAAAAAAAAAAAAAGAAAAAGGGGTTGGGGATGTACCTTGGTGTAAAAGCCCTGGGTTTGATCCCCAGCACTGTAAACTAAAATAAAGTATGCCATGATCAAATGGCTAATCAGAGGAAGAACTATCGGTCCATGTTTCATTTACCAGTCTCTAAAAACACTTTCAAGGAGGAGCCGGGGATTTAGCTCAGCAGCACAGCACCTGGCCGGCAAGCGTGAGGTCCTGAGTTGGATCCCCGGTACGAAAACAACAAACAAACTTTCAAGCAAAGTGTCTACATTATTACGGACAACTACAAACTAATTCCAGCTAGAGGAACATGAGAGTAACTTATGGAACCCTCTTCTTTGTAGGTGCCAAAGGAGATAGGGGATCCCCTGGCTGGCCTGGCCTCCCAGGCAGGAAGGGAACCAAGGGAGATGTTGGGCCCCTAGGACCCACAGGCATAACAGGACTCCCAGGGCCTCCAGGTCTGCCTGGGTTAGTCCTCCTTGGCCAAAAAGGAAATCAAGGACCACCAGGCTCAAGAGGAAATCCAGGTGAATGGTTTATTTTGATATTAGAATTTTTTATCTTTCTCTTGTTACCTTGTTGCCTCTTAGCGTCTGGTCTTCTCTATTCTTTTTGGCCCTTGTTCTTTCATGAAGTACAGTTAGGCTGTTGTGGTAGAGGCAGAGTGGCCTTTTGAAAGATTAATAGATACCTAATGATCCCGAAAGAAAGAGATCTACATTTAGTGAGCTTGTGCAATGCATGAGACCCCAGGTCCCTGCATGAACCCTCCCCTAACAAACAGTCCTTGAGGAGAAGCAGGGCAGGCTTCTTAGGCATTGCCTTACTCTATCTTCAACACAGTTCACCACGCACAGCAAGAGAAGGGTTGTCTGCAGCAATATTGGGTGCAGCGTTTTTGCCCTTTGTTTAAAAGGAGCCCCTGATATAACCTTCAAGGTCCCTAACTGGCAACACTGACAGGTTCTTTGTGAATTCAGGCGAGCCAGGTCCCCCGGGACCCCCAGGGAGGCCCGCAAAAGGCATAAAAGGTGACAAAGGATTTGTGGGCCAGCCTGGCCCAGAAGGTCTGCCTGGAACTCCCGGAGAAGTGGGGTTACCGGGACTTCCGGTGAGTATGGAAAATCATATTGACTTATTATTAATACAATATTGATTTACTATCATGTCAATTATTAATACTTACAATTAATACAAGATTATTATACTGTTGTGAATCAATCACCAGGATCAGATGCATCCGAGGCAGTGCTAGGTTAACACTTGTGGTTCATCTGTGCGGTGTGTCTGAGGACAGACAGCGCCCACAGGGCCAAGAAATCAAAGACTATTAAGAGCTAGAAAGATTTAGCCTCTGAGGAGCCTCTAGAACTTTGGTCTGCTTATTTAGACTCTGAACAATTCTAGTGTGGAAGAAAACAGCAAAGATTTTAAAATTGCTCTGTAGGAGTTCATCCCCACCCCCATTAATATGATCTCAAAATTATTGTGCTGTCCTGTGCATGTCTATACGGTCTTCCCACAACATACTTCTCCATCTTTGTAAATAGCTGCTATTTCTTCCCAATCATTTTCTAAATGGATGCCTACCTGGTTCTTTCAATTCAGTGCAACTATTCAACAACCTTGCCTCTACTCTGAAATATATTCTAGTTTATCAGTATCTCCCTTTAAAATGTGTCACCTGGGAGAAACACTCTCCAGACTAGGAACTTAGTACCTAGTGAGTGGGGGGGGGGGGAAGGAGGAGTCTCAAAGTGGTGAATGTCATCATTTTAGGAATCCGGAATTTTACTTGGGCCTCTCAGCTGCTGTTACCTCACTGCTGTCCCAAGTGGAGTGAATCATCATTTTATTTCATGTGCCTTTTCCTCATGAACTGCTTTATGATTGCTCCATTTTTTTTCTTATCTACCTTTATGTCATTGATATTTGCTTTTTTTATATATATTGGCTTATTTGTGACAGAACTTTTATGTCTATCTTTTGAAGATCCTGCCATGTTTATTTAGATCCTTGCTCCCCAAGATCTCTCAAGTCAGTCTGTCCCTGAAAACCTCCACCATATCCCCCAGCCTTCCCTTAAAAGCAATAATTTTTAGGCATCAAACAGAGAGAGAGAGAGAGAGAGAGAGAGAGAGAGAGAGAGAGAGAGAGATGTTAAATTGCTGTGTGTGGCTCAGCAATCCTTGTCTACTCTGTACCAGTGGATAGGAAAATTAAAATGCACAGTCCTTTGCCCTGAAGGGACCTGTGGTAAGGTGCTGAAGACAGACACAGAGACAAGTCATTTTCATGCTGTGTGCTACTAGGAGCAGCAGAAGGCTGAGGGACACCGAAGAAGGTATTCCATCCCTTCTGTGGAGGGGAGCTGCCTGGGAAAGTTTTCTCTTGGCCCAAGTCTTAAAAGGTACTTGTTAAAAAAACAAGAAAAATAGAATTGGGGGCTGTGAGGAAAGGCACTTTTAGAGGAAAAGAAAAAAGGACTAGAATGAGTGGATGACAGCTCCCTAATACTGGAAGTTTTTGGTGGAGATGAGGATGTGAGGGAAGGAGGCTGGAGGGCTAAGTAGAGGTCAGGTTATTGAGATCTGGTTTCAGTTGCTTATTCAGCAAACATTTATGAAGCATCTCTGGGTACCCAGCGTTCTCTCTTCAAGTTGTAATTAGACCTTTAAAGAATGACTCGTTGATCTGGCTATTTAGAAACTTCAAATCCATCCTGGTTGCTCCATGCAGCAGGCATTTTGGCCACAAAGACATGATAGGAGGATCCATTTTGACAATTTATAGAAAACACATTACCTCTGTGATGAAACTCCGGTTACCTCCTCCACTGCCTTCCTCTGATGACTATAGAGAGGTACTTTGGCATGGCTATGGTTAGAAACCATGTTAAGGTCGCTTGGTATTCAGTTTTTAGAATCTAACTTTTTTTTAAAAGAAAAGTTTTAAATCAGATATTCATCCATCTGTAATCTGCAGATGCCACTTGTTGTTTTCCGTGTTGCTATGAAAGTTGCAGCTTGGATCATAGGATCTCATTTAAGGTTCTTCTAGGGACTGGGGAGGTAGAAAGCCTGTTCTGTCAACACAATCTCGGGTCAATTCCCTGGAGCATTCATATTCATAAGCTTCTACATTGGCAATTGTAAGAATTCTGCTGAGAGTGGTGGCTCACACACTGAGAGTGGTAATAATCCCGGCACTCCAGAAGAAGAAGCAGGAGAATCAAGTCACAGTCTAAAAAAGACAAGAAAGAGAGAGAAAGAGGAAGAAAAGAAGGAGGGAGGGAGGGGGAGGAAAAGGGGAAATTGCCCTTAGTAGTGCTCTTGTACAGCACAGTGTACTCTCCTATGTCCAACTCAGTGGCTGGGCCTAGCACCAGACTGTTTCTTAACTCTTGGCTCAAGAAAATAGGCAGATATCAGAAGCTAGAGAGAGAGTCCTTGCTCAGAAGGTTCTGTTTTCTCTCCTTCCTTTTTTAACCTCACACTACCTCATCCCACAACAGGACTGTTCTTTCTTTGGTCTTCTCACCCCCAAAGACAGTTGGGCCAAAGGCAAGTTTTGTTATTCTTGGTGCTTTTTCATGACCTTCACCTTGTTGTTTTTAAGTAGTACTATTCTGTTTCAATTCCTAGGAAGTCCATGGGAGATAATAACATGTATTTCAGCTATAATTCTTTTCAGAAGCCCTGCTCCTTTCTCCTCATATTACCTCACTTGAGCATCTCATAGTTCCAAGAGCAATTAGTGTGAGCATCACAAAGAGGGCTCACAACCTACCCACTTACTACCACTTCCTCGGCAAGTGTGCCTGTCAGAACTTCTCCCCCTACAATCCCTTTCCATTCCACCCTCAGATACATTATTTCTCCCACCTTCCTCACCAGGAGTAGTTTGTAATTCCACCAGCTTCACAGAACCATGTTTGAATGCCATGACTCAACAGTGGTTCTGTTGTTTTTGCAAGGATTACAAATATAGATCATACTCTTCTTCCCAACTGTCTAGTGCTTATTCCTGGACGATCCCCAAATACTGGGCAGTTCCATTTAGGATACAGGATAGCTCGTTGTATTAGGTACTAAAGCAACATACATTAACAGTAGGAGTTTGCTCTTAGATGTGTTTGTTTTTATTATTATTTTTAGTTAATAGTCCTAAGGAGAAATCTGGCATAGGAGTTATAGACAGGTGAAATGCTGGATTGAAAGGTAGGCTAGCTGTCTGTCAACTTGACCTCATTCTTATCCAACATAATATCATATTCTTTTTGCTTGATAACTGCCACGAATATTACAATTTTTAAAACATGTCTATGGTTCTTCTCCTTTTAATTGCAAATATAGGGAGCACCAGGTACCTCAGGTTCTCCAGGGCTCAGAGGTGACCCCGGATTCCTTGGATTTCCAGGCATAAAAGGTACTGTGTCTGTGCTCTTTACATACAAACACAACACTGTGATTTGTATTTTAGAGCACACAAATGTCTGCTGCACTCTAATGCACTCCAGAGACAGTAAAGTCAGTGCAAATAGGAACTCGGTGTAAATAAAGACAGAAGGCTTTGCCGGCACCGAACCCCAAGGGGTTTAAACATGTTAAAAACAGAAAAATCTAAGAAAACAGTGCCCAGACTATTAGTGAGGGGGAAAGTAATGTTAATCTTAAGTACTTTGTTAGTTCAGAACAAGTAAATCTATATTTGCCCATGAGAGTTCCTGACTTAACTAACCCTGGGCTATTGGTAAGGCTAAAGTAATAATCTAAGAAAATAGATAGCTATGATTACCAAGCATGGTAATTCACCAAGAGACATTAAAATAGGTTTTAATGTGGCTTTGTATTTTACTTTCAATATTATATTGAATAGGTTTCTGAGTCTAAAAAGTAAACTCTTAGGAAACCTTTTAGCCCATCAATGTTAAAATACAAGTTCTTAATGCCCATTGCTGGGTTGTATTTTTAGAGCCTGATTAAATATGACTGTGTACAAATGAAATGGTAAGCCCCATGTGAACGTAATTAAGTGATGGCCATTGTTGTGTTGTGACATAAGCTCCAATCAGAACTTCTCCTAAGAGTCATCAACCTGAAGAGTTAGGAAACCCGTTGAATAACTCTGCCCCCACCTTTTTTAAGGACAGAAAGGTAATCCAGGATTTCCAGGATCAGTTGGACCTCCAGGACCAATTGGGCCAAAAGGACCACCTGGTAAATGCATTTCCTTGTTGTCGCTCTCCATCGAGAAAGGGTAACTCAGCCATGCAACCACCTTCTCATTTTTTATGTCCATAGGTGCACATGGAGACCCTGGCACACTTGAGATCATCTCCCTTCCAGGAAGCCCAGGGCCACCTGGCTCACCTGGACAACCAGGGATGCAAGGAGAACCTGGGCCACTGGGGCCACCAGGAAAGCCAGGTGTGGGCTTGGCAGCCCTGACTTGGATCTCTGAGAGCTGATTGAACCAAGATATCTATGAAGTACTTTGGAAAGCAGATGATACAACCTCATAGGAGACATTAAATATTATAGGGTTTTATAATCAACTTTAGGATTAAGCTCATTTACTCATGAGCAGCCAGTGAAAGACCTCAGAACCTGTAGAAAATGAGTGTACATAGTATAAACTCTGGCAATTGTGTTATACAGCAAAATGATTGCCTTAATAAAACCAAATTCTGTGAAGTTAGATTGTGTTTTTTAACACTTTGCACAGCAAAGCATTTGAAAAAAATGAGTTGAATGTAATAGACTTTAGAAAGGAACTATAAGGCTATAAGTTAGTCTGAATAACATGGGGGATAAAGAGTTGCCACTTGTTAGTTTGATTAATATATGGGCACAGTGAATTCTGAAATAAAATAAATCATCAAAATGAAAGATACATAACAGTTACCAGGAAAATAAGAATATATATAT